GGGACCTTAACAGTTTTAATCCCAACTACTGTTTTTAGAGCTAGTCTCCTGTTTAAAATGTTTGTTTTTTCAATGTTTTGCTAATCAAATAACCTCATCCCTCGTATTACCTACTACTTTAGCACAGTATGGGTCTAGTGTGAGGTTTATCATTAATAAGAGTGAATGTAAACCTTTATCTTATTTTATTTGGTCTTCTAATGTGTTTCAGTTTTTTTGGTTGACCCATCACATCTGATTATATGGCTATGGTTTTACTTCATAATGTAACTGATCAAGTTTATGCATTAAGAGTTAGATATTTGCATTGCTGTTTTGGGGGTTTTGTCACTGTCTGCATCTTCATTATTGGTGTTCTCTTCATTCTGCCAGTTCCTTGCAGGAATGACATCTACTGGGAATAAATGTTTACTAATATATAACATGGATTAGCACCATACCCTCATTTGGTCTATGTGTCAGATGTACACCCATCACCCAGGGCACCCATGTCGTGCCTCCTTTACATTCTTGACCTCTCGTTAAATCGAGGGTGGTTACTAGTTCACTCATGAGCTCTCATATATCACAGTGGGTCACAGTATGCTGACTGTGCTGAGAGGGAACAACCACATGTCTATTGGATTTCGTTCTGGAACTATCCCACCCCACACTTCCCACAGGATTTTGTGGGTGCTTTGTGTAGCACGTGAACTCCTGACATTTGGACAAAGTGGGGCTACAAGTGCTAGTCCACATATTAATGTGCTAGTACACATGTATTTTGTAATTATCACTTATCCTAAAAAAAAAAAAAAGGACAGGATAAATGATGATAATCCCTATGTTGGAAAATATACATGTATGGATTCTGTGACCCCACTTTGGGGATTTTGCTCTCTACGGTGAAGATAGGGACTATGTAAAATTCATCCTTGCCTTCTTGGCACTTAGCACGTGCCTGACACATATTAGGTTACTATTGAGAATTTGTTGAATGAGATGCTGACAACATTGTTCTGACCCAGAGAGAGGACTTTTATTAAAAAGTAGTGAGATAAATATTTGGATGGATATAAAGAACTAGATATATTGAAAAGGTAAGCATTAAAGAGGCTATTGAAAAATAAAAATAAGATATATTCATGGGGAAAATCTGTAATACAGTGATAGATATTATGGGAGCAAATAGAAGTTTGTAGATAATTCACATTAATGTGTGAATCATGTGATGACATCACTGAAGTTTTGGTGAAGGGAATGAAAAAATGAAACAATGTTTCAATTAATTGTTAGGACCTAGTGTTTGAATATAAGTGTGAAAAGTGCCTGTAGATTTCTATACCCACCCATTTTAAGTGGTTTTAGCAAATAGCTCTATTTTACTGTATAGAGTAGAATTTTTTTTTCAAATCTTGTGAGATGTGAATTAGGTGAACACATGTTCGAAAGCTTTCACATATTTTTTATTCATATGTATCAGTAATAAAGACAAACTTAAATTCAGTTTAGTAGTTATATGTATATTTTTTCAAAAAGTAATGAAATTTCTTCTATCTATATTGTTTCTTTTGGTATGATGTGTTAACAGATTTTTGAACGTTTTTGCCTTGAGGCATAGGCATGATACTTCTGGTTATGGGCTGTAAGTTTTTTGTTGTATTGGGGAGTGCTATTTCTTTTGTTTTTGTGGATGAGTTTCCAATATATGTGGGTTGATATGGATGCCATGATAATAGGAAGCTATTCTTTTGAGATACACATACACCAATCCTTTAATGTCAAATATTTTAACGCTTTTGTCTTATTTTCTACTGATTGTAAGCCTATCGTTAAGATTTAGTAGGCCATTTCCTTGGGTGATAGTAATGTTGCTTCATGTCAGTCACTCAGTAAATTAGCTGAATGTTTGAGAATGCCAAATTTTTATACATTTGCTTTTTTTCTATTTTGTTACAGAGTCTATGTAGATTATGTGGGCAGATGTGGAGGAGACAGTGTTAGAACTAAATTCTCAATTTTCATTAAAATTCTTTTTGAATGCAAGAAATTTCAGCCCTTCCTTTGCATTTCATTTCATACTAGTGTTCATCACCTGTTAATACCCTTAAATATATTCTTTAGTTTTTTTGTCAATTAGTAGAAAAATCAGAAAGGGAAATATGAAATATATCCCATATATGTATTTAACAGTCAGTTTACCTATATAGAATATCCAATTGGTAAATGGATTCATACCCAGCTTTTCTTTCAATTGCTCTTTTCAGCACTTGCTAGACTGTTCTGATACTAAGAAGAGGTATACAAAAAAGAAAAATATGAATAAAGAATGAATGGAACCCGGTGAAATAAGTATGCCCAATTGAGATCGAAATAAGAGTTATGGTCAACATGCAGTCAACTCTGTTACAGAGTCCTAGAGCTAGGAATTATAAGGCTAATGGGACAGAAGTAGATAAGTAGACCGTAACTTAAATGTTTAAAAATAGTGCCTATTTGGACTTGAGAATTACTTAAGAATATGAAAAATAGTGTATAGAGTTGGGAATTACTTTAGGGTATGAAAAGTATGTGATTATGTTTTATTACAAGCACTATCAAATTTAATATCTTTGTTAAGATTAACTGAAAGGTTTTCTTGGAGGTGTGCAGTTTGATGAAGAATGTATAATGACCTGTACATTGAAAATCTTACATTCAAAGAGTAACCTGAGTTTTTCAAAAATAATTTTGGAAGTATTACTATACATATGGTATTAACTTTGTCCTTACCATCAAGATAACCCTCAAATTTGAATTCAGTACTCTTGGGCAAAAATGATAGGGCTGCTTTTTATCCTTTAGCAAAATCAAGATTTCCTTTAAAGGAAAACCTTTAGAATAATTAGTGTGGCATAAGTAGCACATTTGACATGTTGGGATTTTTTATTTGTGCCACTGACAATGTATATGGCCTTCGTCACGTAACCTCAGGCACGTAACCTTAATAGGTTTCAAATGACCTATTGTTAAAGACTGAATACAAAGCTATAATTTATACAGTGGGAAAAGTGATAGTGTAGAGTAGAAATTATTCCTAGGTCATTCCAAATCTTTAAACATTTACAAGGGCAGAATAATATTTGACTGGCTTGGATTTCAGAGCTTTCCTCGTATAGCACATATTCAAATGGAGATAGTGGGGATTAGAGAAATGAGCAGTAATAGGAAGATAAACTAGGCATGTATTAGCAAATAAGGGTAAGATCCCGAATGAGTAAGCTGGTTATATTGCTTAAAATAATTGTATTATCTAAGGACATCCGGGTGGCTCAGTCGGTTAAGTGTCCTACTCTGATCTCAACTCAGGTCTTGGTCTCAGGGTCATGAGTTCAAGCCCCGCATTGGGCTCCACTCCATGGAGCCTATTTAAAAAAAAAAAAAAAAAATGTGTATCTTACTATTTTTAGATTCTAACCAGTGTTTGAAAGGTTACTGAAATGGGTTACTTATACTGGCGTAAGGTTCTTAGTGTAGAATGAGACTAATAAAATGACTCATTAATAAACAGGATTGATAGTTTGCTAAGGAAATTTTTATAATTGAGAAAAAAGTAAAACATTTTTTAAGCAATCTAAAACACCATGCAACTCACATTTTAATAGAAACAGAGTTGGAAAATACTTCTAAATATATATTTATATAGAAATATGATGGTAAGTTGGTGAAACATATTTCAAAACTGATAGTGCTTTAATTTCCTTTAAATTTGCCATGTCTGGTTCCAGCGGTCATTGCAGTTATTTAGAAGTTTATGTGAATGTCCATTTAAGTGAAAGCTAAGAGTTCTTCGTTTCCAAGTGGGGGCCCAAAAGGAGAGTCTACATTAGGTATTGCAAAAACCATTTTCTCCCAACAAGGGCATAATGGTGAGGGCTTCTAGCCTACCCCAGCTAGCTTTCTTTTACTCTTTGTTCTGTACTAGTTGTTGATTGAATGAGCTTGGGCAGAATATTTAACTTTAGAACTGCAGTATTTTCATTTTTACAATATTATCTTAAACATCTTATTGGTTAGAAAATAAAACAAAATTGTGTATATTGATGGTACTTGGTTGTTACTCAAAAAGTTTAATGTCGCTGAAATTATCAAAATACTTACACATAAGGATTGATTGTACTGTCATATCCAAATATTTATACTTGAAAATACATAGATACAATAGTTTTAGGTAAATTCCCTTATTTGAATGTTCATAAAGTAGAGTGACTTAATTTTTCAGGATCGTATGAAGTGATAATTGCTAAATATGTTTTTAAAATCCTTAACAAAATTTATGGTGCAGGCTGGGAAAGAGAAATTGGTATTAAGAAATTATGTAGTGTGTTTACAGCCAAGGGATAGGGATGATTTTCCATTTAATTTTGTAGTAAAGACACTATCTTCAGTGTACTTTGTATTAAATGTTCATGAATTAAGGGAAATTATCTGCAACAAGTGCTGTTTTTATAATACCTCTATTTAAAAACATATACAGTGTCATTTTCGACTGTATTTATTAGATCTGGGGTATTTTTTATGTCTTTGGTTTGCCCCTTCTTGAAACCCTTTGGTTTCCTTAATAGAATTTCTTTTATATCTTACTAGTATAAAAATGGTAAATGTATTTATTGTTGGTTAACTCAAAGAATAATGAAAAAATTGTTTTATCTTTTAGAGTAAGAATTTAAAATAGTTTTCATCCTTTTCTCCTCCAGACATTCTTTGCCCATAGAAAATAGATTCACTTGTTGCTATCTGACTGGGAATATTATTTCCATAACTTGAAAAAAAGCAAAGCTGAAGTGCTAAGGTGACATCTTGGCAAGGAAGAAGGGTCTTAGCATAATCCTACAAAAAGTAATGAATCCAATTAGGGGTTCTCTAAGCTTGCTGTTGGGTAACATGCTTCAATCAGTCTTTGAACATTTTAGAAATTAGGATATGCAAATTTAAGAACTTTTTAAAATTGTTTGAAAGGCCTAATTTTTGTTGCTTTACAGATGTCCCATTTAAGCAGACCTCTTCCGTAGCCGTAGCTGGAGCTGTAATCGGAGCTGTTCTTGCTCTCTTCATCATTGCTGTCTTTGTGATTGTCCTGCTGACTCCTCGAAAAAAGAGACCATCCTATCTTGACAAAGTGTAAGTAACTTTTTTGCTCATGTTCAACATTCAGTATGAGTCAGTCTTTATCTTTACAGCTACTTGTGTAAAATGTCTGAGGGATGGGAGTAAAGACACAGATCTTTGTGAGATGACCATGGTTGCATCAGAATGTACTGTTTTGGTAAATAGTGTCAAGGAGCCATTGGAGACAAATAAATTAGACACCTTTTTCACCTACAAATACACTGGACATCTTTCCAGATGATAACGTAATGACACTTTATTTTGTCCTGCCTTGTGAATAAAAATGCAGGCCTTTGACGGAGTGTGGTTGAAAGAGAGATTCAAAATAGCTTAGAAGTTTAATTGCTTCTCCAGATTGTATATGCCAGTCTTATGTCTAGATAGATCTTATTAATGTTCAACTGCCAAGAATTATCAAATAGAGTTTTAAAGCTTTTTTCCTTAAACAATTTTGGTTTTGGTGAGTTACAAAATGTGCAACTTTTTTATTTAAAGAGAAAGCAGTATTTTGGGCCTAGTCATTGAGCCAGAATGTTAAAGTATAAATTGCACTTCGCTGTAGAATCAAAAGACCAATGTCCCAATTCACTGAATTCCATCAACAGCTTTGTTGCTTCATCTGTGAAATGTGAATAATATTTTTCCTATTTACCTTCCATGGTTGTGATGAGTAGAATAAGATATTGCTTATGAACTGTGGCGTTTTATACAAATGGCATTATTTCTTATGTAGTTACTAATATTTTTATATTAGGACATGAGGCTGTCTCTCAAAGAATGTATTTCTTCTGTCTTCATAAATGCCTTGTATATGTCTCTGCCTCTCTAATCTGGCACAGGTATAGCATAGATCTTCTTAGATTAAAGACAACTGAGTGTTAGTCTCAGCTCTATCATGATCAAAGTAGTGGTGTGATCCTGAACAAGTCACATCACCTCCATGGGCCTCACTTTTCTCACCCAAATGACTGATGGCACCTTGGAGCTATAAATTTGCTGTGATTTTCATTAGATGAAAGGAAATAATTACCTTTAAATAAGAACTGCAAAGTACCTTTTCAATGCAACACCTGGAACACTGATTCTTTAATATTTATAGTTAAAATATTTATATGTAGCAATAATCTGTATAGTTCTTTACTATTTCAGGAGTAGCATGCGGTTAACTTCATTTTAGTTTCCAAGTTATCTCAGGCTTTTCTATAATTTCAAAAACATAATTTACTAGTAGGCTAAATAATTACATCCATGTAACCATTTTATTTGTTATTTGAATTCTATTCATTTAAAATTATTATTTCATGCCCACATTGAAAAGTTATTAGGCCACAGAGAATTTGTAATTACTTTGGCCTTTATAGATTTCATTCTTTTTATTTTTTAATATAGGTAACATTTTTGTTTGATTTAGTCATCACATGTATTGAAAATTAGTTATCTTTGAACTTCAAAAGTATGAGAATATATAAAAAAAATTGTTCTCTAAAATTCAGAGCCACCAGATATACTTAATTTTATTTTTATTATAACAACAATACTTAAATACATGAAAATATAAGTTTTTTTAAAAGTTTATTTGGTTATTTTGGCAAAAATAAATGTATTCCCTGAGGATGTAATGGCCTCTTTATTTCATGTGACAAGGATTTATAATGGTCTTTAGATTGAAAAATCTTAATTTGCATGATGGATATTCTAAGAGTAACCATGGGTTTTGAAAATTAGTTTGGAAGTATTTCCAAAAAGCAGTATAATTTTTTTTCATTATCATTTTAAGATACAGTTTTTTAAATTACTTTTATGACACGTTGCCTTCCATTGCACACGTTTGACTATCTTTAAAATGATGGTAGGCATAGTCAGATGGAAAAATGTGCAATACTGAAGTAAATTGGTTATGTACTAGGTTACTTAATAATTTTCAGAAAAATGCTTCCATTTGAGTTACTTCTTTAAATGAATCAATTAGATTGGTTTTAAACATTGGAAGTTTAAAACCAGGGTTTTTAACATTGGAAGTTTAAAACCAGGGTTTTTTTTTTTTCCCCATCTGTGATAGGTTAATGGAAATATAAGAACTGAATTAAGTGTGTACACTAATATAAATATTAGTGTGAGGTTCTCAAAACTTAAGGGAACCTTGTTTTCCCCCTTTTTCTTTCTTTTCTTTCTTTCTTTTTTTTCTTGCTAAATGTTGCGATCACATTTATTAACATTTTTAATGCAGGATCGACCTTCCACCCACACATAAACCACCTCCCATGTATGAAGAACGATCCCCACCCTTGCCTCAAAAAGATCTATATCAGGTATGTGTTCATGGTTATACTTAAAATAAAATGAAATAAAAAATAGTAAGCAGTGTATTTTATTTGAGTATTATCTAGTCATTATACATTAAATGTTGCATAATAACACATAATCATTTCTCTGAAACACTTAAAGGATCAAACTTTGTCGACAAATTGGTAAGAAAAGATGTGATAGCCAGTGTGGATGGAACAAAGTAACACTGTATTAAGAGTAGAGATTTTTACTAAAAGTTTATGGCCAAAGACTTACTGTTAATATAGTTTTATTGACATATAGACTCATTGTAAAATATGCATTTTTATATAAAATAAAAGAAAAATTGAATGCCTTTGGTAGGGTGTGTTTCTTTTCAGTATACTCAAGGTCTAAATTTTAGCATTCTTTCTTTAGCAGCAAAAGGTTTATATTCCAGTTTAAAATTCTGGGTACGAATATTGGTCCTCATATTACATTTATGATAACTTTTAAATTTTCTTTTGGAATTAGTTTGTAATAATTCATGTGAAGGTATCGATTAAATGCTTCTATCTCATGTTCTGTACCTAGATTAATATGCTCTCTAGAGGAAAGTTGAAACCATCAGAATATTTGAATACTTTTACTCTTAGCATTAGTAGTTTCGTTTTTTTTCCCTCTCATATCCATGTAACCTTTTGGGGCTCTGACCCTATATTGGGTTTTTTTGTTTGTTTGTTTTTACCTGTGGGAATATTCTATAGTATTTTCCTCCAAAGATATGTTTCGTATCTTCAGCTCAAATAAGGCAAATTATTTGCCCACCAATTAATTTAATTTGGTGGGAAAACTCCAAGGGAATATATGTGTTAAGATGTTGTTAGCTTCTGTATCTTAGTTGACCAGATAGTCTCCTGCCTGAGAATGGGGCGGGGAGGAACATTCGTTCCCTGGCTTTCGCAGTCATTGCCAGGGGTCACCTGCTCTGTTGTCTTAACCAAAGCTGGTGTCTGAGGGGTGAGACATGCCATCTTTTCAGACCCCTTGTTTTCACAGAAAGAGTGTAGCCTCACATCTCTCTTGGCAAATAAATGAACTTGACAAGTAGTGTGGAATGTCAACAAAATATTTAGCTAGAGCTGTTGTTAACTGCTGCAGAAAGAAAGCTGTCTTCCTCCCTCCACAAAGCTAGTAATTAATCAGAGGATTTCTAGGTTTAGTTTTGGGCATTCTCTTAGAATGTTGTTGGTAATTTTCTAGGACAACCCTAACTGTGTGTAATTTCATTCCTGTCTGTAAAACCAACTGACTATATAACTTACTATTTAATATCTTCAAATTAAATATTTATAAAAGCTTATGAATCAGGGGAAAATTATTTGGTTTTGATCATCATCTGTCCTTGGTTTTAGTTTAAAAAATATGATTGCTATATATGTATTTAGCTACCAAATAAACACAAAAGGAAGATTTTTCTTGGATGATTTGAGTTGACAGTGTTAGAAACTACAATTTTTAGAATCCTTAGAGTTAGGGAAGGCTTCCTGGCTTTTGGAGGTAGGAGTTATGACGCATGTGATGCAATTACTCAGTTGTTGATTAGAGTAATTTGATTTATAGTAAATTGCATACTCAAAAGCATAAACCTGGGTAGAAATAAGAGCCATATGGAAAAGTAATGAAAAGTTTAGAAAGAAAATTGGTGGGAGAGCACCTGCAATGAGTAACAAACATTAGACTTGGAAATCAGAGACCATTTAGTAACATTGTGACTTTTTCCTCATCTTGAAATTAGGCAGGTGAAAAATGTGATTGTTTTTCTCTTCTAGCTATAAAACTGGTTTTATAAAATATTGCTGAGGGTTAGCTATTTGCTGTCATTTTGCTTAAGAGAGTCAGAACTTGAGTTGGAGATGAAATAATTCCTAATTTTATAAAGCTTTTAAGAATAAGTTAGGCTAGGGGTGCCTAGGTGGCTCAGTCATTTAAATGCCTGACTCTTGATTTAGGCTCAGGTTATGATCTTAGGGTCATGATCTCAGGATCGTGAGATCAAACCCTGCTTCAGGCTCTGCCCTGGGCTTGGAGCCTGCTTAAAAATCTCTCTCTCCCTCCCCTGTGCCCCCAACGGCTCACATGGGCGCACTTGCGCATGGGCGCACTTGCGCATGAGCGCACTTGCGCACGCAATCTCCCTCAAAAAAAAAAAAAAAAAGAATAGGCTAAAATCATTATCCATCAGTGAGATAATTTGTTATGATTCATGCATTATAAGGTCATGTGTTAATTATGTGGCTGTTTGTGTTTTAATTAATCTTGTGATCTCAAAATGTAAAATACACAGAACTGTGTCTCGGTAACCAAGAAATATGTAAGTGTGTCATTACTATCTGATTAGGTTTGTGCAGTGATAGCATGTTGTAATACTAAATGCCTTTGTAATGTTCCACTTCACTAGGTAACTTGTCACCTTTAAAGTGATGTGTTAATTCCTGCTTGAAGTCATTAGCCCTCAGCCTTCCTAGATAACTAGGTCACAAGGCCATGCTCCCAAATGCCTACATGGCTTTAAGGAACAGAGTCCCACTTGTTCTACCCATCAGTGTTCTACCCTTGGGAAGCCACAGAAGGAAGCACTTCCTCACTACCCACATTTGTCCACCTTGTATGATTATTGCTTTTTGTGGTAATGGTGCCAACACTCATCCCTGAGAAGTTTTCTTCTCAGTGTAAATTAGGAGAATGAGGCCTGGCACTGTGAGGAGGCAGTTTGCTTGAATGGGAGCTATTACCATACTGCAGAGAAGATGCATGGAGGCATGCATGTAAGTGTGAGGGAAATAAAAAGGAATGTCTTGCCTGAAGGCAAAGGTTAATTAAGAAATACCACCAGCTTGTCATGTATTAGGTAATCTATGAAAGTTGAGTCTTCATTTAGGAAACAAATATTAACTTAATGACATTAAAGTATATTTTACCTTTTTGTTACGTTGATTAACATTATATAGGTAATCCGTAAGTATATTTTTGGAACAACAAAAAAAAATCAGAAACTACAGAAATTTATAGTCAACTGTGAAAGCCCTTTTTCATTGCTCCATCACCAAATACATAATTTCCTTCTCCAGCAATCACCACTGTTATGAATTTAAATATTCTCCCACACTTTTTTCCATGAATTTATGTTCATGTGTATATCATCCATATTTACATCTGCAAATATTTTTTTAACACAAATGTGATCATAGAATACATATTGTTCTAGAAATTGCTTTCCCACTCTTATAGACCAGTATTTTTCAGACTGGCCAATGTTGCTTACAGTTTAGTGGGTTTCTTTATCTCATTCAGCTTCAAATCCAGTACAAAATACTGAACACTGATATAAAATTTCTTTGTATTACAATTTTGGGCAACAATTTCCATTTTATGAATAATGCTGTATTTTAGCCTTGTATTGGGAGAGTTGTATACTCTGATGTGAAAAAAATATTTCCCAAATCAACAATCATTTTCAGGAAAAATATACATAACAAATAGAGTTTGATGTCTGATATGGAAAAAATCTGGATGTAAATGTAGATCTTTTAGAATACTCTGGTTCAGTCTAAAATAGCATTTATTTAACTTGGAAAGTCAGGGCTAGTAGATTCCATGAAGTAGATACCGTTACTTGACTTTACTGAGGATCATAGCAGGAATTTCAGTCAAGCAGTAATACTGTAGGGAGTGTGGCTCTTGAAGTTATTTGCACAATGCTGACATATTATTAAAAGCTTTCTAATCTCTTGAAATATCATGAGATTTTTTTCCTCTTTGGTAATCACATACGCAGAAGTAACCATATGTCAGTGGATTTTTGGTAACTTAAAAAGTTTTTAGCAACCTGGAAAATGTTTTATGAACAGTATTTCAGGTGTTGGAATACACAGATCAGTTTTCAAGATTTCAAACACTTGGTTTGTATTTGTAAATATATGTGTGTGTATTAATATTCTGTGTGATTAGATGGGATATATGCATAAAGTGCTTGTGTGCTTGAATTCCAAGCTGAAATTAGGTGCCTTTTTGTGGAACACCATTTTTACTTAAAAGAATGACTAACAAACTGTGCCATTCAGGCTTGAATAATTTGCAGACATTTTCTCACAGATCAATGAACTGAACCTGTCACTCAAGGCAAATAACTGACAGTGTTTGTTGCCAATGAAAAAAACTTGAGGTTCCACGTAAAAATTATAATTTCTATAAAACCTGTATCTACAATCATGGGATTGACATTGGTGGGGAAATTAGTAAATATTTTTTTTATATTGAATAACGAAAAGTACCAATGTTTGGAATAATCAAGCTTGCTTCTTTTGACTTGGATATTAAAAGGATTTGCAGGGTGCCTGGGTGGCTCAGTCATTAAGCGTCTGCCTTCGGCTCCGGTCATGATCGCAGGGTCCTGGGATCGAGTCCCACATCGGGCTCCCTGCTCGGCAGGAAGCCTGCTTCTCCCTTTCCCACTCCCACTCCCCCTGCTTGTGTTCCTGCTCTCGCTGTCTCTCTCTCTCTGTCAAATAAATAAATAAAATCTTTAAAAAATAAATAAATAAAAGGATTTGCAAAAATGTAAAAAAATAATAAAATGCCACTCTTCTCGCTAATCCTTATTTTGAAAAACATGGTTATTTTTTCATGTAAAAGATGATTTTTGTATCATATTATCCTGTTTATATGAATTAAATATTTTAAAAGTCTCTTAGTTTTAATGTTTAATATGATAAATATAGATAGCTAAGGTAGCTACTACCCATGTAAATGAAAGTACTTTGGGTTCTCAAAATTTTAAAGTATAAAGGGATCCTGATACCCCATTTCTGAGAACCTCTGCTGTAGACCTTAAATGCTATGAAGGCAAGGATCATGTCTCCCTTGCTTAGTACTGTAGTCTCAGTGCACAACACTTTGCTTGGCACATTGTAGTTACCTTACAAAAAATTTTTGAATGCAAAAGTGAAAAAAAGAGTCAAACCCCTCTTTTTATTCTTTTCAG